CAACCGTTTAAAAAAAAAAAAAAAGAAACGATAAAGAAAATTTACACGTTTCGTGCTCCCTTCGAGGACAAAATAGAAGAAGGGGTAAGAGACGCGGAACGGGCCGAGAATATGACAGAAGAACGGCCGTTTAACCGCGTCGTTTTACGGTGGAACGGAGAGGCGAGGGTGAAAGCCGCACAAAAGGCGAATTAATTCGGCAAATTTATTGGGCGGCGGATCGGAGGCAGGTCGAAATCGGCGAGTACGAGGAAAGGACGCGGTTCGAAAACCCTTGCCAAACCTTTGACACCGAAAACTCGCGACACGGAGAGCCAACCGAGAGCCATCGAGCGGCTTCTTGGCACTCGTGATTTATGATAATTACACGCCGCTGCCAACTGTTTGAAGAGTGTGTCCACCGTTGCCGATCAGCTGACCGCCGAATGCCTGGCATCGTCCCCCTGTAAGGCCGGCCTTAATGATTCGAGGAATCGAGCCGGCCTCCGAGAAGAATCCGCCCCGGACCGCGATGTCTTCTTTCTTTCCCACCCTTCCTCGCGTCCCACCTCTTCCTTTTCCTTCCTATTCGTTCCTCCCTCCGCGATCTATTAATCGTCCTGTCTTCCATTCGTCACCTCGTTGTTTCGATTTCGAGACCTATTCGAGGTTTCGAGGACGACTCGAGTTTAGATGTTTCTCGAAGATGGAATATTTGGACGGACATTTCAGGCGTTCATCTGTTGCTTCTTAATTCTTATTCGATGATCGATGCGTGATCATTCGAAAAAGACTTTTCATTCGATTTTTCTATTGATTATTTTTATCGATATGTTATTGGATACATCGTTTGAAATTTTCAAAGAAATATTGAATAATAAGAAATGCTCGTCGTTTCGAAATTGTACTTTTGGAAATTGTACAAGAAAATACAATGTTATATAATATAGGGAAAGAAGTTCTTTTCGTGTCGATTCAACGTATGTAATAATACCCGGATTCTCAAACGAAATGAAATATTTGAGGACGAATTTTGATAATAATTCAGAAATTCGGTTCTTGGGTACGAACCAAATACTACTCATATCGTCCTTGCCTTCGTTATAAGATATAAAAAGATGAATTTAGAGAGATTAATGGATATAATAATTTTCCCCGAATAAAATAATTGGATAATTTCTACAGTTTCTTCTACAACGTAGAATGGCGTCAAAGCGAAGAGATGACTTCATACACGAAAACTTATATCGTGTAATCGATCAGATTCAGTGGAACGAATCTGAAAGAATCGGAAAGTTTTAAGATGCCACGATAATGAAGAAGTTTAAAACCGTACCGTTTAGAAATTTAGTTAACTGTTTAACTCGTTAACGTTCTCCTACAAACGCAATTAGTGATGCAAGAGTGAATTAGAGGAACACTTAGCGGCCACCTCTTAGCATGCTCAACGTGGTTTAACAGAATTACCACTTTGGGCGAATAAGATTCGTAACACCAAACTATTAGAATTCGACTGCAGAAAAATTTCCCTTCCAAATGTAACAACAGCTGTTGAAAAACTGTTCAAAATGGATCCGATTTTCTTCTTATTGCGAATATTCTTCAAACGACCAACCTTGATAAAAAAATTAGATTATCCAAGACGATGAATGATTGTGACGATGACTCAGAAAATCAAGTCGATATTGCACGCTTTATCTGTATCTCGCTTGTCATATATAGGTCATAGATGTTAATTCTCATGATTCACGAATTAGACACGTTATTTTCCAGGCTTGTTGTTGACCAAAAATATAAAATGCAACGAGAAATAATTGTGCAACGATTTTTATACCAAACATTCCATTTCGAGTTATACATTTCTTTAAAAAAGATTCTCGAACGTTCAATCGTCGTGGAATAAAAGATCACGTCACCCGCATCGAGTACGTTAAACCAAAGATCGGCGACGAGAGAACAATATTTCGTCGTTAATCTTTGACACGGTTCGTCAGAGTCGAAAGAACGAACGAACGAACGAACGAACGAAAGTCGATTTCTCTCCTCTGACCGGAAGACGACTGTTAAATCGACGACTGCTCGGGGACCAACGATGGATCGCTAATGATTCCCAGAAGTTCCACGAGAATATCCACCGTATGTTCGACCGGTGCAACAAAACCAGAGGCCATCTCGGCGATCGAGTGACTTATGTTCGACGTGTCGTGATGCGGCTCGCGACGTTTCTCGCATCAATTAACCGTTTTGTATCTGGCGCGGCATTGTGCGATGGGATTGGATTGTTGTTTCCGTTTTCCGATTGGATTTATTTTATCGCTTAGAATGAAAGAGTACTTTGGAATTTTTGTGCAGATATTTTGATGTTTAAAAAAAAAATATGCAATATAATTTATCAAAAGGTTCGATTTACCTTTAATCTTGATAAATTTATTGCGATAATAACGATAAATGTATTCGTTATCAGGATGTTACGAGGAAATTATTTCTTGCAGAATTAAAATTTTCTTTTATATTACCGACGAAAATGATAGTCGTTGTCATCCATAAGATTCGAAGGTTAATGTTAGATGGGATTAAGGAAAAAATATTAAAAGTTAAAAGAAATATTGCGCGGAGGAGAGAGATTGGAAATCAAAGCTTTTGTACGATGTTTAAAGTTTCAACTCTATTCTGATTAGTTTACCCAGGGTTAAAATTCATTTCTTGTTAAGAAGTCGAAACGATGAGCGTAATAACGATGAGAGTAGTAGAGTTATTGTCAGGTGTACAAAGATTTGCGATTCAATTCCTCTTGAAGCGCG